TATTCCAGATAAGGGTTCAGGATTCAAAGGTTCAAGTGTTTGGGATTCAAGGGGTCCAATTGCTCGAGATTCTGGGGACAGATTCAGGGATTCGGTACTCAAGAGGGTTCAAGTGTTCAGTGGTGGGCGTTACGAGCTGACTGTCCACGTCAGCATGGAAGGGCGGCCGTCAGAACGTCAGCTGGTTGATCAAGCTCTTCTAGGGTCATGCGTTACCAGGCGGACCAAGCTAACGTTTTGTTGTCACCACACACACAAACTGTCTGTCTGTGGTAGTGATGGCTTTGGTAGGGAAGCAATAACTGTCTGGGTTGGGTCTTAAGGGGTGGGAGGGGGAGGGGGGAGAAGGGGGAAGGAGGGAGGAAGGAGGGAGGAAGGAGGGAGAGAGGGAGGGCACTCACTGACCACTAACAGGGTTGTCTTACCTCCCTGACGGCTGGTGCTGCTGCTCCACCTCCTTTTACCACACTTCCTCTACCTTCCCCAACCTGCCTCTCTACCTTCCCTCTTCCCCTACCCATCCTCCCACTTATCTCCTTCCCTCCCTCCTACCCACCTCTCCACACGTCAGTCCCCGGGGTTAACCAGCAGACACTATCAGCCAAGTTCCAGGACAGGGCTATAAGTATTTCCAGGCCCGGGAGGGATGGTCGTGGCTGGCTTTACTCAACCCAAAGGATGACCCGCCTCTCCTGACCTTACCGATAATGTTTTCTCCAGTAGCCTACGTGAGGGGTGTTCTATATGGCTTAATGTATCTATTTACTATTTCCCGGATCACCCTTAGTTATCAAACAGTTGTAAATCTCTCTCTCTCTCTCTCTCTCTCTCTCTCTATGTTCGCTTATATCTCTCCCTAACACCAACAACATTCTACGTTATCAGAAATATTATAAACACGACGAAACAAAAATGATTAAACTTAAAAAAAAAATGATCATCTTTCCTGGACGTTATTTCGATACAGTTTTATGCCTCCCCATTTTAAGAGGATTATCTAACCTAACTTACGATCGACTGGGAAACCGAACTGGGAATAAATGACCTTAAGTAGAGAGTCATAAGTACACAGTTATAAGTAGAAAGTTGTGTAGCGACAACAGTAAAGTACCTCGTCCCTTACTTCAACCCTCACTCACTCACTCACCTCGCATAGTGGAGAACAACAAGCCTTCATGACCTACCTACCTACCCCCATCCCTTCTACCACTAGTCCCACAACTACCAGCACACTCTACCACCATCGCTACCTTCTCACTATCAACATTACCCCCCTTGACTACCATCACCAACCTACCACTACCACCCTCTCGTTACTACCAACCACCAACCTCTCACTACCACCATCCCTTCACTACCAACACTACTCTCTTCACCACCACCTCCCCACCAACAACAAACAGGGAAAGGGTTCTCCTGGCTGCTGCACACACACAAACACATACAAACACACATACGCACGCACGCTTATAAACACACGTACACAAACCAAGTTCTGTTAATCTCCATTTGGTCAAATTAACAAACATTCACATATAAACATCCTTAAAAACCTATATAATAAACATTTGTCACCTTAACACAATTTTCTCTACAATATTAACATTACACACCTAAACACAAAGCGCTCTCTCTCTCTCTCTCTCTCTCTCTCTCTCTCTCTCTCTCTCTCTCTTTTTCCGTGACACGTCTAAAACATTCACCAAAACACAAAATTCCAACACCACAAACATCGACAGGATCCTAAACATCTGTACTATATTAAACACAGTGATAAACACTATTGGGTGTTAGAGCTCTCATAAGTGTCTACAGCTCCTTGTGTTGTTAAACCTTCTCTGGCAAACATAAAACTTGGTCAATATTTATCTTGGCAGTCTAATGATAAGAGCCAGGCGAGGTGCTGCAACATGACACACACACAATATATATATATCATACATAATAATAAAAATACTAATAACTGTAATAATAATACAAATAACTACGATAATAACAATAACAATAAACTCATGGACGAATGAATAATGGTAAATAAAAAAACCGTTTATATAAATCAATTAATACAACATTAAAACTGATATGTGAATCACCTGTTTGAAAATACCTAAATTCTTTCTTTAGGTAAGTAAGTAAGTAAGAATGGTAAGTAAGTAAGTAAGTAAGTAGAAGTAAGTAAGTAGAAGTAAGTAAGTAAGTATGTATGTATGTATGTGTAGTACAGTGTGGGAGGTATTAAGACAGAGGGAGAGGCCCACACACACAGGGAGGGAGGGAGGGTGTGGTAGAGGTGTCTGGTATCACTACACTACCTCAATGCCACTGTCTGACTCAAACACCTCCCTCCCTCCCTGTGTGTTTTATCTCTCTCTCTCTCTCTCTCTCTCTCTCTCTCTCTCTCTCTCTCTCTCTCTCTCTTTAGTATACTTCATCTCTCAATTCATTTTATCTTTCATTTGTTTTATTTTCTTTACTATCTCTCTTTATCTCTTTCTCTAAATATTCACTCACTCTTTCTCAAAACTCACTCACTCATTAAAGTTTCTTTCCTAAATAAATCCGGTATATAATCCACATTAACCACGCAGATTAACCCTGTAACTGGTGGTAAATCTTCGAAGGTTAAGTCGTCCTTGACCCCCCCCCCCAAGAATGATTTAATTAGATCACCTGAAGTTTAGCCCCCCTGAGGTTATTTCACATAATTAATGATTATAGACCCTAGGTTAGTTTAGAGGTTAAGTTAAGCTTGGCTAGCGTTAGGTTAGGACAGGTTAGCGTTAGGGGTGGTTAATCTTACGGTAAAATAAAAGAGAGAGAGAGATATATATATACAGGAGACTCATGATCACTGACCTACGATAGTGGAGATAACGCTATCCCGACACACACTGTCATCATAAACATATCAATTCAGACACTATAAAAAAGCTAAGAGGTTTATTAATGAACATCCTTACATAAACTACCAAGACACTTACACACAGACACTTACCTACTTACACACACATTAGATTACAAGATGTTGTAACCGCTAGATTAAGGTTAGGATATAAGTACCTTTGGCAGTATGTTCCTCAAGCAGATGTAAACAAAACTAAATGTAAAGTGTGTGGCCATACATATGGCCACACACTTGAACACTACGTCCTCGACTATGTGAAGATAGAACCTTTTAGGGACAGGTCCAAGCACACTGTGTGTGAAATGGCACAACACTTCATCTCTAATGGCAAGATAGCCGACATATTAAGATTGTATCCACTTTTTTGCACTTAGTAACTATATCAATACTCATGTACAGAACCAAATACGCAATGTGCTTGAATACTTCTCACGTAAATGTGAATAACAAAGTGTGAGGCCAGACATACTGCCTCACAAGCCTGTACTCACGCATTTGTGAATAAGTTACCCTTTATGTATAGAACTAAACAAATAATGTAAATGAAATACTGTGTAACATTCAGTGCCATAATATCCTGACAACGGGGGTTAATTATTATGACCCTTTGTAAACCCTACTCTGTAATCCTTTTGCGCTACCGCTCACAGGATGAGTGTGGGGTGCACAATAAAGTAGCCGCTGCAAGCGGCAAAATCAAACACAATTGATATAAGTGTTCAAACGAAGCAGTGACCTTGACCTTTGACCTCTCTTGTGACCCTAGTACACAGCAGAGTCAGGGAAGGTGAGAGAGATCATGGGAAGAGGTGGATTGACCTAATGGCTATAACGAACACACACACACACGGTATAGTTCTTTGTGTTCTTGAGTTTTATGCTATCGACACTCCTACATACATACATACATAAGCACATATATATATATATATATATATATATATATATATATATATATATATATATATATATATATATATATACAGTACATAAATACATACACATAAACATACGCAACATTAATTTTTATTTACACACAGCCGCTCTACACACATACACAGACAAGACATTCATATGTATTTACAGACAGAGACAGACAGACAGACAACCACCCTACTCACACGGTCCGCCCGCGTGAGTAATAGCTTTCATATTTAAAGTCATCTGATAAGAAATAAACACTCGGTCTGGGTGGAGGAGGGGGGGGGGTGAGTCAACTCTTAAGTACTACAGCTGTAATAACAATACTACAACCACAACAACCACTGCAATAATAATAATACAACCACAACAACCACTACAATAACAATACTACAACCGCAACAATAATAATACTACAATCACAACCACTACAATAACAATACTACAACCACAACAACCACTACAATGATAATACAACCACTACAATGATAACACTTACACTATAACTACAACAACTACAACAATACTAAACAACCAGCATCACTATAAACAACAACAAACCATTACAGTAATACTATAACCAACAACAATCACCACAACAGTAACTACTAATCAATAACCACAAACATCATAGTAACATTAGACAATAACAACAGTAAACAACAACCACAACATTAATCAACAACAATCAGTACAAAAAAACACCACCACCAATGAACAACCACCACAATAACACTTATCAATAACCACCACAACCTCCCCACAACTCACAAGGAGGACTACAGCCGTCCATCATACAGTACTCAACTAACTGCTTAGGTCTTGTCGCCAGTGTGAGTTTGTTGACGTTTAGAGCTGTGCCTTGACCCATTGTTCCTGCTTAATTATTTGAGTGGCTGGGCGAGTGAGCTGAGCGGCGGCCATAGGAGCACTTTCGCTATATCTCGCTGGACAGTATATGATGATGATGATGACATGTATGTGTAATACGTATAGTATGTACGTGGAGATATGTGCGAAATAATACCGAACAATCTATTTACATATATTCACTTATCAAGCTTCCTATTCATTTATTTATCTACCGATGTATCTATAAATCTATCTATCCATCTATCTATCTACACATCACATACACATCTCCCACATCCCCAAATAAATAAACAACACTCACCAACATCACACCTGGGCACGTAATCATCACCGGCTTACCTGGAATTAATGAAAACAAAGGTATTAATTTACACTTCAATAAACAAATCATTTTGGACAAGTAAACAATATTGTCAGTAAAGATCTAATGAGTGAGTGTGTGTGTGTGTGTGTGTGTGTGTGTGTGTGTGTATGTGTGTAGTGATACGACCCACATACAGCCACCACCTGAGTTAGGGAGGTAGCTGTGGGTCGTACATTAAGGTACCCAACACTTCATATCACTACCACAAACATCACTTAACACTGTACCACACAAACACCATCACCACAGGATAAAATAAACAAACACACACATGCAGAGGAGGCGGTTAAAATGTGCACTTTACCACCAAAACAAACACCACACGTATATATAATACTCCGACAAGCACAACAAAAACACCTAAACCTCACTTGATAATCCAGCACGTGTGGTTGTCATGAGCTGTTGAACAATATAGCCCTTGTCATTGTTACAGAAATATGACGCAAATAAAACGTTACGAAAGACGTTTTTGTCTTCGTAACACAGCATAAATATAAAGTACCCATGTTACCTGGGTCTTGAGAATATATTTGTACAGGATAATAAGGGGGACTAATACAAACGTTTCTAAACACACCCACACACAGACAAACGTTCCCCAAATTATTCTATCACAATAACAACACCCCCACCACAAACGTTTCCAACACACACACACGTTAACGGTGAGTAGAGAAGGTAACGAGAGCACACGTGGTGGAGGACTATGCGAGTCGGGGAGGCAGGAAGTGTAGTTTTTCCGGTGGTCTGGTAGTGTGAAGGTGTACAATAGGGTGGGAACAATGACCAGTTGTGTGTGTGTGTAATTGTGTGTGTGTAATTGTGTGTGTGTGTGTGTAATTGATGTGTGTGTGTAAGAATCATGTCAACACTCATAGGTACACATGTTTCTGTGCATATCATACATACATACCCATCAACCAATCAGGCCCAACATCAAGACAACAACACTTCCTTCCTTCCTTCCTCACTCAATAGGAAATATTCCCACGAAGCTCCACCACAGACCACCCAAAAACCTTCCCTTGACTGACACAAACTACGACACACGAACGAACAGAAAGCCGAGGGTGAAAAGGAACCCCAGTTTATTTCACCTGATGAGTAAATACCCTTATACTAACCTAACCTAATACTAACATAACACTAGCCTAACCAAACACTAACCTAAACTAAAACTAACCTACCCTAATGCTAACCTAACCTAATACTAACCTAATCCACCCTCCAAAGGTGATTTAATATCTGGTAAAATAAGCTGAGGTGCCTAAACATCTGCACGTGATCACAAACAACTCATAAATAAACAAAATCAATAACAAAACCCGACAATAAATCACTGCACCATAAATATTTCAAGTAAGCAGTGTAACAGTGAGCCAGGCCATATTTAATTACGGTCCGGGATGTTATTATACCTGGGAATGGATTAAGGGATATTATTTACATTGTACTTTTCCCTCACACACACAGCTCCCTATTAGTCCGTTCCTGATCTATTGGACTGTTGGAGTTTCTGCCCCATATACACACAATCGTAGGGTCTCAAGTGTTTCTCTTACTTGATAACACAACATACACCTAACGTTTCTCACTATTGATTTTTTTCTTCTCATTTTTTTTATTTCTTTATTATTATTATTATTTTACTTTTTAATATAAAATTTATTTACAATGAATTATTATTATTAATACATTTTCGCCCCCCAGGCCCCGATGTGGGTCAGTGACCTGTGCCCGGGTGGGTTAATCCCCGTAAAAAAAACCACATACATACATAGGACCCCAGAGTGTTGGTTAACCGGTCCGTCTAACCTTCCTGGAAACAATTAACAGTACAGGGCCGTTTATACTGAGTTTCCCCGCTGACAGGAAATGGAGGAACCTAACTATAATTGTTTGATTGAAGGGGTCATGTTAAGGGTTCAGTGTGTGAAGCTACTTTGGTACATTTTTAGTACCAGACACATTATAAACGCCTTCTTTACACAGAATAGACAAACTGTACTACAAGCTTTGTCAATAAATTTGTTAAACTAAAAAAAATTTACACACACACTCTCTCTTGACTGGACTTGTCAACACCAATTAGGACACAAACTTAACTAACAACAGTCTTGAACCCTGACACCTCCCTCTATCTCTCCCACTCCCTACCCTCCCTCTCTCCCCACCCCACCTCACCCATCTCCCGCCCTCCTTCCTCTCCTAGCATATATACTGTAGTTTTTACCGCCACGGGTCGCTCGCTAGGATCATAACTTGAGCTTACGGCGGCATACAATACCTCCTCGGGATAACTTTGACCTTTTTCTTAACCGGGAGATTGACCTGTGACCTTCAGCTGGGACACTGACCTCTAACGTGCTTGAATCACCAGTCGCCAGCAACAACACCGTCTGCCTGGATCACCATCTGAAGATTAGCCCCCCCCTAGTGCGTTAAACATCCTAACGTAACGCTAACCCAGCCATTCCTAACGTAACGTAACGCTAACCTAACGCTAACCATCTAACCTAACGCTAACCAGTCAACCTACAACAGCCCTAACCTAACGCTAACCAGTCCTAACCTAACGCTAACCAGTCCTAACCAAACCACCACCCCCAGGTAGAATGAAGTTGTTGAACCATCAGGGGGGTTAATCTTCAGGTGATCAGTCCTCCCTTACTCATCAACACACGCATCCAGCCTCTTACAAACCAGTCCAGCACCTGACATTAACAGTGACCTACCACACATTGGCCCCAACACCTGTGCCTGCAATGCCAAACCAAGCAGAGGAGAAAAGAGGAGGTGGAGAATATGTTGGGGGAGAGGAGTAATAAGAGAAACAACAACAATAACATTTATAACAAACAATAACAATTAGACAAACAAACAATACCAATTACAACAAACAATAACAATTACAACATACCATAACAATTACAACATACCACAACAATTACAACAAAAACAATAACAAAAACAATAACAATTACAACAAACCACAACAATTACAACAACAATGACAATAACAACCAATAACATGTACAGAATCGAATCACCTGTACATTGACCTCCCCCAACTTACGTCACCTGATGATTAAACAAATTAAATCTACCTGAGGGGTCCAGTTAGGTTAGGTTACTTCTACAATACTTGGTTATGTACCGTTTGGCTAGATTAGGCTATAGGTTAGATTATATTAGGCTACGTAATGTTAAGAAGCTAGATTAAGCCTATGTGTTATGAAAAGACAGTCAGACATACATTGAGACAACACAGCCATACCATATAAGACAACAATAACTTCTAAACACATAAAAACACAAACAAACGCGACACCACTAAAGACACCCACCAGACATGATGGAGATAAACAAGTCCACACACACACACACACACACACACACACACACACACACACACACACACACACACACACACACACAGAGCATAAATACAATAATGTTAGTAATATTATCAGTTATTATTTCTTTTATTACTAAGTCACATCTGCAGTTATTACGAAACTTTTTTTTCTTTAAAACTATGAACCCAGACCTGCTAAATCACACTAATTACTCCTATGTAATGTCCACCACAATACCGTGTACCTAATGTAACGTTCCTGAAAAGTTGATTCGTAAAAAAATACGCTTGTACGATTTTTTCAACAATAATGCTCAGAGGGCGACCAAACATGTGTTGTTTGTCATTGTCACGACCCACATCTATTCACGGAGCCGTCATGTTGTCATACTTAAAATATATTTAGAACATGGAGAATTATATGAACTTTGGAGTTTATGTGATTTAGGAGGGAAGAACAAAGGGTTGGAGGAGGGGGGCAGATTCACACAACGCTAGTCCGGGAAATGGATGAACTTTTGAAGACATACTGAATGACAAGAGGTCCTCCCAGATGCACTCATGGACCAATAGTGTAGCTATGTGAGGTAATAACACGACTATCACCTTCCCCTGTCAATGTATACAGCCTTAACAACATCAACTAGAAGTCGACTTGTGAAAGAGACCTAGGGGTACTTTGAAGCCCGGACCTACGGCCTGAAAACAGTGCGTCAATGTTCGAAATAAGGCAAACAGAGTATTGGGTTTTATATCTAGAGTGTAAGTAAAAAGAGTGCAGAGGTCTTATTGCAACTATATCTTGCGCTAGTCAGGCCGCACCTCGATTATGCGGTTCAGTTCTGGTGCCCTATTATAGAATGGATATCAATTCACTGGAGTCGGTGCAGCGAAGAATGACGAAAATGATTCCGGGACTTAGAAACCTTCCATATCAGGAAAGGTTAAAGAAACTAAACTTGCATTCCTAGAAAGACGAAGAATGCGGAGAGATAGGATAGAAGTATTCAAGTGGGTGAAAGAATCAATAAAGGTGATATAGATAAAGTTCTTATAATATCAGAGCAGGATAGGACTCGGAACAACGGTTCAAGTTGGATAAGTTTAGGTTTAGGAGGAAATAGGAAGGAACTGGTTTACAAATAGGGTGGTGGACGAGTGGAACAAGCTTAGCAACTTTGTAGTAAGTGCTGGAACGCTGGAAAGTTTCAAAGGGAGGCTGGATAGATTCATGGATGATAGAGAGTGGTAGTAACTCTCGACAGGAGCTGCCATGCACAGGCCAACCGGCCTGTGCAGACTCCTTATTTTCTTATGTTCTTATGTCCTTAACCTATGGAGGGTCGGTAAGGGGTACTGTCCTCCATAGTCTAGCACAACACAAAACAGGGACTTCTATCTCTCATACCAGTAATTAATTAAAGAGTTTAGTCGTCGAAGTGCAGTGGGTTAGGTTGGGTTAGCGTTAGGTTAGGGCAATAGTTTGGGTTAGGTTAGATTAGGATAGGATAGGTTAGCGTTAGGGCATTAGTTCGGGTATACATCTTCAACGGCTGAGAGGTTACACATCGCCTCTAATTAGCAGGAAACAAGCCGACAGGTGCGCCATACCTG